TGTTTCTTCTTCTTCTTCTTCTTCTTCTTCTTCTTCTTCTTCTTCTTCTTCTTCTTCTTCTTCTTCTTCTTCTTCTTCTTCTTAATAAAAACATTTGATCCATCTTTTCGTTCTTCCCACGGGTATCTGTATTGCGAATAACTGGCATGGGTCCCATTGTAAAAAATAATAAAAGAATAAGTTATCTGTTGTTATGACACGAACATTCTTAGAAGTCACAATATTGGGAGAAGGACAAAAAGGAGAAGCGGGCACTATCAACAAGCACAACATGCGTTGTTTACGTTTTCCTCAAACAATATAAATATATATCTGAACATCAAAGGCGAGCGTCTTAAGCTCCCGCATCCTCCACACATACTCATGCGCGCTTACCTCTTTCAGCAAGTTTTGAACAAGAAATAACAAACAAATAAATAGAGACAAACGCTTTATGAGCCCGAAAAAGGCTTATTAAATTAAATACGGTACAAAGTTGTTGAAATGATAATAATTATGAGCCCCCGATAAACAAGGCTATCGCACATATCTCTACCGCATTATTATTATTATTATTATTATTATTATTATTATTATTATTATTATTATTGTAATTATAATACAATAATAATAAATGGCTTTTGTATAGCGCACACCCCGCTCAACAGCAAGCTCTATGCGCACCACACAATACATAATAAATATTCAATAATTGTACAGACACAATAATTCTTTCTCTACATCACGAACATATACACACATAGAAGAGAAACACAATAACAAAAAGAACTCACAGGTCTCTGTTCAGAAAAATTTCCTCCGCGCGAGAATCCCAGAGCGCCATAAAATCCTGAACTGTCCTCCTTCTCACACAATCTGTGAATCAGCTGTGAGTGTGCGGTGTGCGCGCGGGTGCGGTGCGGTGTGGTGCGGTGGAGAATCTTGTGCGCCGCGCGCGGGAAGTGAAGTTTCGTCGTTTGCTTGAGACTTGAGACTTGAGACTCACATCCCCCTGACTGACGGCCACCGACTTCTGGATAGCAAGGGTGGTGGTGGTGGGCAGTTAGGTTCCCGAATATTGAAAGCTATAAGGAATCGTAAGAATCGACTCCGAATCCAATGACGTTCATCTAATGATGGTGATTTCTTCCGGTGGTTACCTGGTTGGCTCCGAACTACTTCAGGATTTAGAATAACATTGATTTTTGGAACACTGCAAGACACCAACTTTTTATTTTTTAATGAATTCTTTAAAAAAGAAGTGACCGTAAAGATGGTTCTAGTAGGGAACGGGATAGAGGGCGCCCACGTCCCTCGTGACTCATTGGAGCAGATGAAGATAGGACTAACGCTAACATTACTTAAACACAATCCCACATCATCACTCATCACCGCCATTATTTCTCAAATCTTCACCGCTCTCAGATCAATGACTTACATCTATGATCCTAAAATCTCTATCTGTAACAGTAACAGATACTTGTCATTCTAAGTATGCACGTAATACACTATTGGACACTATCATAGGCCCTTTTTTCTTCTAATCAGATGCTGGTGGCGTCGGTAGCCTAGTGGTTAGGCTACCCTTTTTTCTTCTAATCAGATGCTGGTGGCGTCGGTAGCCTAGTGGTTAGGCTACCGGACTCGTAATCGTGAGCTTGCGGGTTCGGAGGT